AGGATACAGTATTGATTACAGTATAGATTACAGGATACAGTATTGATTACAGTATTGATTACAGGATACAGTATTGATTACAGATTTCCTGTCTGTCTCTTCAGAATGGGAGAAATCTCCAGGACTTCGACTGTCAGGTGAGTTGACCTCTGACCTCATGTGATCTGGATTCAGCGCAGTATATCCGGAGCTCGCATGATTTCATAATATCTGCAGTACTCGTTGTAAACAGTCACATATATCCCCCTGTTGCCATGGGAACGTTATAAAGTGACGTAATTACGCGACGTGAGCGTCATCGAAAAGCTGCAAACCCCGAGATGAAGCCGCAATTTTTGGAAGTTCCCGCAATTTTATCGCATAAAATATTCTGCATATTCCATCGCGTCTTTAAGAAAAACGTGCCGCATGATGATCAAGGATTTCTGCCCGCGACTATAAAAACTCCAGAGCTGCGTGAAGAGTGGAAACGTCACAGTTTATGTGATATTGTTGTTTACCAGCGACGCGACAGCATCGAAGGACAGTCCACTGTGCAGCCATTTGAGTCTGCTAACACAAGACGTTTAATGCCCCACGTCGTTGTTGTTGTTGTTGTTGTTGTTGTTGTTGTGATGAGGGTGGTACACAGCTCGTACAGAGGGCGGAGCCTGTGCAGCCTGTCTTCCTGTCTGTCTGTCACTGATTCCTCCTCAGGGACGTGGAAGAGATGGAGGACCCCCGCCTAAAGCAGCAGCCCCATGTGTTTACAGCAGAGAGATTTCCTCAGCATGTTTGTTTGTGTTCTCTGTGCAGGGGGGCACAGTGCTCCTACCTATAAATGATGGTTTATTTTTAGGGTTTATGATAAATGAATGAGCCGTGTGATATGAAAACTGTTCTGATATCCTGATACGCCTCGACGCCTTCAACTGAACGATCTTCATCCTCACTGCAGAAGGAATCCGGACCGGAGGAAAGCTCTTCTTCCTCCTAAACCTACTCGGTCGTTTGTTCTCCATCAAGACAAAACAAACTCCAAAATACACTGACTACAAGTACTACTAAAAACTGCTGAGTATTTCTCTCAACGCTCTGTTGCTGTTCTGGTTTTAGATCATTTAAACAACGATCTGCAGGTAGGAGGTCCGTTTTTAAAGTCCTCTGTTTCCTGCTACTTTATACTTTATTCTGTTCACTACATTTCAGAGGCAAACTTCAGTTAACTGTCGCAGTAGTTACAGATTATTAATACAAGATATAAGCAACAAATAAATGCTGCTTTATTGATCCCCAACCAATCAATTCACAAGCACCCCGGCAGTATTCAAACCTTTAGCAGCTGCAACCTGAAATACATAAATTATAATCCACTAATATAAAGCACATTAGTAAAGTTTGATGCTAATAGTGTATTGTTACTGGAAACACTGTGGTTTTTATTTTAACTTGAATAAAATATCGGATCACTTCCACCGCTGAGACAGTGAGACACCAGAATCTGTCTGACTCAGCTGACGTGATTAACAATCGATTGATCGCCACAGTGCGTGTCTGCTTATTGGTAAATATTCAGAACAGCACGGTTGCAAAGGCTGGAATAAAAACAGAGTCACAGGAGGAGATGTGTGAGGAAAACTCTGCGTGCACGCTGTCCAACAACAGGCTGAAGTTATAACCGTCAGCTCCACACGCAGGTATTGATCCGGGGACTCATCGGACTGACGTCAGTGCAGCGGGTCAGCCTCATCAATGCCTCTGATCAGAGAGGTCTTTTAAATTAGAGCACAGAGGAACAGCTCTGCCTGTGAAACATCAAACACTCACATTCAGGAGTCCGTGTCAGGAAGTTTCCACTCAGCCTTCGAATGAACACAGAGAAGTTTATTGATTGTTTGTCAGTATAATAAGATAATCTAAAGCAGATCATCCTTTATGTGTCAAACACTGGCTGGTAAAGACATCAGTTTCACTTCTGCTTTTACTTATATTTATATATTTTATCTCCTACCTCAGAAATAAAAAAGGATTCTTTCATTTGATTAAAAAAACAAAAAACTAATAGAAAATATATTTTGTGGATTTTTCTGAGAATAAATCAATCTTTTACAGTCTTGATTTAAGTATTTAGTATTGTTACATCCCTGCTGGTTGCTTTTTTAATTTAAAACATTTTGAATTAACACTTGTAAATGTTAGAATCCAAGTATAAAGAGAAATAAGCAGTAACTAAGGGTTACAGTGTGACGGTCCTTCGTCCGTCCGTCCCTCAGCATGGGGACGATCACTGTACTCTCTCCATATCAAGCAGTCTGAACAGTGAGCAGGAAAACGTTTAATTAAAAAGCATCTGCGAGCCTCAAGTGACTCAGCTGTAATTTCCAGTTCGTTTTATGATTCTTTGTAATTGGTTGTGAAATTTGATTTCCCTGCGGGACGTCGAGAGCGGAGGAGAGGAAGCAGGAGAGCAGAGGAGGAGAGGAAGGAACAGCGAGGGAAGGCAACAGGCGGCTGTCTGTTTAGACCCTAAGACCTTACTGCTCTCAGCCAATGACTGCAGAGATTATTCCTCCTGATCCAATCACACCACCCCCACTGTCTCTGTCTGTCCCTTCAGCTGGCAGGAGGCTAAAGGACATCAGCACTGTCTTTATCTTCCTTCTGTCTCCTCTCTGAAACTCTCCCTGTCCTCCTCCTCTGTCAGGATGTTTGACTCTCTGGACTTGCACCAGATCTCCTGTTCTTTAGGAGTTGGGGTGGTGAGTTGGGCAGTTAGCCCTTCATTAGCCCGCTCTACGGAGACATGCTTTGCCAGCTTACTAGATTACAGCAGTCCGTCTTTTAGCCAATTAGCTAGTCAGCCTGCTCGTCCTGCTGTTAGCTGGCAGACCGTTAACTGTTGTACGTGCTCACCTGTATTATTCTGTTTCAGTCTCGTTACATTAAAGGATACGCATTTCATGTTAAAGAGGAAGAATCACTACAGAAAAAGTAAAGAGGAGATTCATTTGTTCCAAAATAAATTCTAAAAAATGTCACTTTTTTAAACGAATATTAACGTACTTCAAGGAGTTTTTAACTGGAACGTTCTCTACTGATACAGACACCAACACACACTCCCTACCTACGTGTGTATTTAAAGATATTTTACTAAATAAAAGTTCAACAATGCCCAAAGACAAAGTGGAGTTTGCATTTCATCTTCTGTGTCTCTGTGTTATCCTTAGCTTTATCTTCAGTCTCTGGGGTTTCTGTTTTTAGCTTTTGCCTTTTTGGAGACCAACATTTTCCAGAGCTACAGAAATGAAAGTGTGTCAGCATTTTCAGCTCTGCAGCTCCTTCAGTGAACAACCTCAACAAAATACCAAGTCCTGCTTTGGGAATAGTTAGCGCACATGTGAGGAAGCTTAAGATCCATTAATAGACAGTCGGGTGTTTTCATGGTCAGTTCATTAAGGAGATTACCGGACAACACCTCAGCCCATTAGCCAATCATCTGCCCGGCCACGTTTCTATCTGACACAATAAATGTGTTTGATTACACAACCACACTCCTGTTTGACATGAAACCATCAATCAGCAGCAGATTATGAAGTGGTGCGGATTACAGCCCCCCCCCCCCCCCC